TTCTGTCTCAGACAAGTACTGTTAGCTGACAAGAAATATGGCATTCCTCACCTAATACAGTAAACAAAACAAAACAAAAATCCTCTCTTAATCACTACTAGACAGCCTCTAGACAATACATTCCTGCAAGGAACTGTAAGTGAAAGGATCGGATGCCACTTTGTTAATGAAACTTAAAGAATAGATTGTCAGGCATACCGGGAATTTCAAATGTATTTCTGAATTCACATCTGTGGGAGTTGTGGATTGTCACAGTTCATTTGCTTTTGTAAAATATCCACAATTTGCTTACAAGCAACTTCAAAAGTCCATTCAGCGATTGGGTGGGTGGTGGACCCTTTTCAGCATTTTTTAAAAGCAAGTGTTCTTTTGCTACTGTAATATAGAGCTGACAAAGAAAAAGGACGAATGCTAAAATAAATAGTAAAATATAAAACACTTCATACAAAGTAATTTGATGTGCCATTAGTTGTACAATTACTTCAATAAACAAATATGTTATAATGGGAAATCAGAAACAAAATGCTTTTCAGTTACATATGAAATTTGCAAGCACCCATGACACCATGTTGTTTATTCCCTTCGGAAGTTCCATTTTTAAATTTTTTGGTTTCTTTTCAGTGCTTGTGCAGGTCCTTGAAACTGCAGTGTTATTAATTTATATCAGGAATTACAGAATTAAAATGAAGGCATTTAAAATCACTTAAGACTGCAGTTAAAAATAATCAAGTACCATTATTTCTCTTAAATTTAGAAGCTGAGGGTGTCAGTCAAAAGAATATAAAAATGTTGTTTTAATTTGTTTTGAGTAGCCTGATTACCAGTGTAAAATACTTGAGAATGCTAACACGTTTCTCAGAGATGGGTGCATAGGAATAAAGCTGTATTCTGTATATTATGTCCCAAATGGGACATTGATGAAGACCTACACAGTGCATAATTTCTTTTAAGTTTTTTTAAGCCGTCTTGTGTTATGAGTACAATTAAAAGTCCATCAGTATCCCAAGTACTCGTGCATTATCTACCCTGCCACACTTCGCTAATGCATCTTATCATTTAGGTTGCTAATACTGTTCAGTGTAAAGACAGTCTTTCTGAGGTAGACTGTTCAAGTTCAAGGACGAGTCTTTTTCTTACGAAATGCATGACATTCAAAAAAAGACAACAAATAAATACTACATGTACAATATGTAGCAATGAGGTAGAAATGGTTATAAAGAACAATGTTTGAATATACGTCAGATGAGAAAAAGAAAAAAAAGAAATGAATATTCTCTAGCAACTGTATATAACCCTCAAGGAAATCACACACACACACACACACACACATACACACACACACACACAGAGGTGGGTAAGAGAGATTTAGTTTTAATCCTAGAAATAAACTTTTTCTTTTTTTTTTCTTTTTTGTATCATAAAGCAACGAGAAGGAATGAATGTGCTCCCAACCTTGGTGTACTACAGAACCATTTTATAAATATTTAACATTCTATAAGACTGATTCATATATTCTCACACAACTCTGTGGCAAGGCTGACCCATGCTGCCGACATTCTACATATCACTGAGACAGGGAGGTGAAATTTTCCTGCTTTCAGTCTAATTGTCTTTGACAATTGCAGTGCCTAGTGCTACACTGCTTGTGTTGTATTTAAAAACAAGGGAAAGAGGAGAGACTTGTTCATTAAAGATGCAGTATCCCTGGTTCACACAAATGCATCTGGCAGGTTCAAAATCGAATGTCAACCAGAGGTCTTAGCAGAGTGTGAGCTTCAGTTCATGTGTTGGTTAGTCACAAGTACAGCTGGTTTTGAATTCTGAAATACTAATAGCTCCATGTTTGCTAATGTGCTTTATATGAAAATCGGCAGGTGATTCAAAAACCAAAGGCTTTTCAAAAGAAAAATATATCAAAACACTATTTGTAAAGTGGTCATGTATATCTGCACATGTGAAGAAAGGAAGTAAACAGTTCTTTCTGGATAATGTAAAATAGATGTTAGTTTAAAGCTCAAATAGGCAGTGAAAACAGCACACACATACACACACAAACACACACACTAACTTTATATATATATGTATATATATATATATTAGAACTTTACTTTAGTGGCCTCAATAGTTCAACAAACTGTGTCCCTTTCACTTTGCAAAGTACAGTTTCACTGATCATGATACCCAATTCTTGTTAAGAAACACGAGAATGGGATTATAGAAGTATCTTTCTGCTTGGAGTTGGACGCATTTTCAGAGAAAGAAATTTTAAATGCCTCTTAAAACAGTTTTCCAACCCACAAATATATTTAAATTTACAAAGACCTATTGTAGAAATTAATTTGGATTTTTTTTTGGATGTAGTGTTTTGAAAAGTGCATAGCCAAGTACTATGCAACCCATGTAAATTGACCTTGCTATTTTACATAGCATAGCCGCTGGATAGCTTTTATCACTTGCCCAGATGGCGCTTGGCCTATGTATTTTAGTGGAATGGTTTATTTTCTCCTTGATAGGTTTCAAATGCACAAGAAAACATTATACCCGTCTATCTGCATTTGAGTAGAATACAAACTGACTAATAGATAAACATTCTGTGTGAAAGTAAATAGCCTTAAAGTATACTGCCTTCACATTCCATTGATCAGCTCAGTCAGCAAAGTTTTCCATATTGTCACTAATGTTCTAAATATTTTGGTGAGAAGCATGCCAGAAGTGTAGAGTATTTCCATTTGTGTCACACATAAGGTTATTATGAACTACCTCTTGAATTTCTATTGATCCTTCTGAAGTGGTTTCCTTCACTTCCTTTTTGTCCCTGTTGGAAATGTTATTGCAGTTGTGAAGAAGAGAATTAGGGGCTGTTAAGTGGACTGGCTCAAATCCCCTGGCCAGACAGCAAAGGATTTAGACTGGCTCATTACCTCCTTACCTTCATTAGTAGCCTTTACCAAATTCTTAGCAGTCAAAAAAAGGCCAAGAGTATGAAGCCATACTACTCAGTTGTACTATCACTGATTGTACGCATTCACTACTGAGGATGTGGTACTCCCACCCCAACTCCAAGCTCCAGAAGGGATGGTCAGAAAAGAGCTCATTATTAGGATAGTCCATAGAAGAGCTCATAATGCTGTCATGTAGAATCGAAGAATCACAGGAGAGCACTACCTACTCAAAAGTCAGCCTTATCTCCCCCAACACATCTTCATTTCTTCAGCGTGCCCATTTCCTGAGAGATCAAATCCTAGAATTCAGGAGGCTAAATGAAAATCACACATGAATTCAGATTCTGTCTAAATACATGGATTTTTGACCACTAGTATCTCAAAGTAATTTTTAAGTCACTTAAAGCTAAAAGCTAACACGTATGACTTTATTTTCAGTTTTATAAACAAGTGTAAAACATAATAGTGCAGTCATATATTTGGCATTAACTCCTACTAGCCCCCCAAAATATGGATCAATATTAGATTTTCCAAAGTTGTCTAAATAAGACAGAGTTGATGAAAACTTGCCAGTTGCTTTCAAGTGAACACAGCATGTTTGTAGAAATGACATGTAATGTCTAAAAGACAGAAAATAGGTCAGTACTGTGCAAAAGTAAACTTGTCAGGGGGATCAATGTGAACCTACAAGTTAATGGGGATATTAGAATCTCCTTACAACAAGGGGTTTGCAGGGTAGAGCTGGAACACAATTGTAGCATTTTTTCACTTGCAAAAAGCAGAGGATGTACTTAACTATTATTTTGTATCCTTAATGAAAGGCACTGCTTCTTAATATGGAATATTTATATGTGAGCATGGTTTTAATTCCTAGAACATTATAGTAAATTAAATTCTGGTTCATTTGCTCAGTTTTTAGCAACATAAAAAAATAAAAACAAGGAATAATAGATCAAGCATTATAAAATTTCAGAAATATGATGTTCTCATTAGCTTTCTCTATGTTGTGTTTCAGAGAATTTAACATTGTGGATGAAATCAGTAAAAATTTTTGAAGAAAAAAAGCAATAACAGAAAGAACTTTCTTGGGGCTTCCCATCGCATTTATTTAAAATTTTAAAAAGTGTACATCACTTTTTGAATACATAAAATGCCAGTGCTTTGCAACAGTTTTGTTACTGCATCTCTTAAACAAAAAAACAAAAAAACAAAAAAGAAAGAAAGAAAAAAAAGAAAAAAAAACCAGGAAAAATACATTCAAAAAGCCAGGCTGTTCTGCTTATGCACGGGCAGTGGCTTTGGAAAGCTACAGCCTACAGTGTCTGTGTAGAGGCATTGCCGAGCACCAGTCAGCTATCAAGGAATAGTTGCACATAAAAGCACTGAAGGATACAAAGAACAACTTGGTGGGTAGGAGAGGAGTTAAGAAATTGAGAAAAATGCCACATATGCTCTTGGGGTGGGAGGTAGAATCAGGGAGACGTAAGCAAGAAGACTGATGTATTTGGAAACTAGATTTATGGGAAAAGGTGAAGAAAACAAAGTGACATGTTTGGCAAGCTATATTGTGTGTGTGTGTGTGTGTGTGTGTGTGTGTGTGTGTCCACTTCCAATTTTCTACTTTACCTTCCAAGAGAAATGTAACAAAACTGAGGTAGAAATGAATGTGGGAGCACTACAGCCCAGGAGAATTTAAAATGAGAAGCAAAATTGCACTGACAAGAGGAGTAAAAAAGGAGGAGAGGGGATATAGACGTTCTTTGTGGGTATAATTAAGTTGGTTGGTTGCCTTTTGTTTGTATTTATTTATTTATTTATTTATTCATTATGTTTGGGTTGCTGTCTTCTGCATTCTATCAAACAGCATGGCAAGCCTATAAGCTAGATTAGTGAATAGAATGACACCATTCCCAGCAGTTTTAAGACAGAACTTGCAAACCACCACCACCACCACCACCACCACCACCACCACCACCACCACCACCACCTACGCAGTACAATGCAGTCCCAGTTTTTAGGTACTGTGACTTTCAGAGTCCTAAACAGGTTTTGTGGCTGACTGTCCTAGACACTAATACAAACTGAATAAGTAGCTTTCCATTAACCAGTGTACCTTTTGAGAACATTTTCACTTCACTACCAAGGAGCAATGTACGAAGAATTCTTGCAGTTACTGACATAAAGAATTACTCTGTTCTGGTTAATTCCCCATAATTAGTAAAAGAAACTTAAAAAAAATCCTTCCATTTCTACTTTAAATTGTAAATATTCAGTTGTATCACACTTAATTGTTTTTATGGATACATTCAAAGTAATTTTCCTTGCTCTTTTCCAATTGTTGAGGTAAACATACATTTTAATATAAAGTAACATCGAAGCCTATCCCATTACTCTCAGCAGTACATAGTGCTTTCAACACATTCCTTTGAGGTACTGTACAAATCACAATCGCTTTCCTGAGTTTTTGCAGACAAGAACATTAAAAGAAATGAACTGCAGAAATTAAGGTCCAGATTACCGTTACCCTGTTTTACCTGTTCTTAGCTTAATACTGCAGAACAGACAGGATTGAGGAATACTGTTGCTCTTAAAATGGCAAAAATCTGGTTTTCTGTCATAACACAACCGTTCATCTCTTTAGTCCAATAATGTTTGAAGTTAAAGCTCTTTATATTAGCACATGCCACCAATGTAATTGTGAGGCAAACAAAAAATAAAGCACCACTCCAGGCACTTGACAGCAACTAAATCTCGAGAACAGCAGAATGGAATCAACACACGAGGTTCATATCCTTCTGAAGTCAACACACTTGCACCTTGCTCCTTGGTGAGTGTTGTCTAGCTTGAACCGAACTGAGCATCAACAGATGCTTTCTGTCATCTGGGGCTTTCAAATCAGAAACTCTCATTTGATGCGTTTTTCCTCCAAATCTACCCTGACTCTAAAGATGCAACTTAATCATCATCTTCCCCAGTACCCTTTGCAATTTAAACACTACTGGAAAGGGGCTCTATACCCTATGTAGCAGGTTTTATGTGCGTGTGCCAACATTCATTACACTTTTTAAAAGAAGTTATCACTGACTGCAACCAAACATTTTGTTCCATTCAACATACATATCAAGCTCTTTTTGAGATATGCTAGGCTGAATCTTGCAGAAAGCATTTTCAAAGTCTTGATATGTAACGGGCCTCAACTGGCTGGGCATAATGGCTGAAAGGTCTGTGGCTGGCATGGCATGGAGGGGCCCCACCGCTGCTTCCTGACACAAATGAGCCACGTCTAGTCCAGAAAAGCCTTCTGTGCGCTGGACGAGCAGTGCAAACTCCTTGTCATTGAGACAGTAATTGTGCTGTGAGAGCAGTTGTACTATTATCTGGTGCCTCGCTGTGCTGTCAGGAAGTGGGATTAAAAGTCGTTTCATGAAGTACCTCCGAAGAGACTCATCTATTTCTTCTGGTTTACTGGTGGCACAAATTACTACGATTTGGTCCTCAGCCGATGTTAGTACAGTGTCCAGCTGCATCAGAAATTCGGTTCTCATCCGACTGACTGGACTGTGTTCCTCACTCACTTGAGAGGAGAGAAGCATGTCAATGTCGCTGACAAAAATCACTGAGGGCTGGCGACATCTGGCCACAAGGAAAGAGGCATGGATAATTTTCTCTGCTTCTCCTAACCACTTGGCAACTAGTCCAGAACCAGCAATTTTGAAAAATGTGGCCCCCAGCTGACTAGCTATGCATCTGCCTAATAAAGTTTTGCCGGTTCCTCGAGGTCCAAATAAAAGGATGCTCCGAGGTAAGGCTGTCAGTCCACTGAATGCATCTGACCTCAACACTGGCCATAAAACCTCTTCTTTAATGACAGCCTTTACCAGGTCAAGACCAGCAATGTCATTCCAGTCCACCGGTGGTCCTTGCGTGATGATCTCATTGGTTACCAGGTCAATGAGGTGTGTGTCAGTATTCTTCAGTTGCTCGTCCATCGAGTGGTTGGATGAGGTAGCTGCACGGAGCCCAGGGCCTTGCATTGCGTGAGAGAGGAGTTGCCTGTGCTCGTCCCCATGCTCACTCATTACCGGCGACGTGTACTTCCCGAAGGATTCACTGGATCTTGATCCCAATGAATTTTTAGCAGTACTGTAGGAAGGAGGGGTCAGAGCCCTACTGGACTGGCTGCTGAATTTTCTTTGCTGTTCAGAGGACATTAGCTGCTTTGTTGGCTTAAATGCTAAAGATGATGTTTCAGCACTTCTGTCAAAGCCATTCCCCCGATTTGAGTTTGAAATGCTGTTGTCGGGCATTCTGTACATAGGACTCTGTGTAGATCTCTGTTGGCCATAGCTGTAATTTCCATAACTGGAGTCCATGTCCCCTTGCCCTGCCATATAGAAAGCTTTTCTTTTGAGAGAGCTTGCCGAACTGTTTGTCAGGGCTGAGGGTGCGATAGGTGTCAAACCATGACCTTGGTAGGTGTAGCCAGGAACTGTGGTTGGGGGCAGAGGGGTAGGAGCAGGAATTCCTGAAGGCAGGTATGCTGAAGGAGGAGGAGGTGCACCGCCAGGGCTGTACCCAGATCCCACAGCAGTCTGAGGAGGATAGCTAGCAGAGGGATAGCTGTAACTGGAGAGGTTAGAAGTCCCATTGTAGCCTGGGACCAGGGCTGGTGGCGGAGGAGGTGGTGGTGGTGGCTGTAGGAGCCCAGAGCTATGCAAAGGAGATGGATGAGGTGAAGGAAGTGCAGGTGCTGGTTGGCTACTGTACGTAGAATGCAAATATGATCCGTTGTATCCGGGGGCATATTCCTGAGATGGGAGCCCTGCATGAAGACTTGGTACAGTGTGGCTTCCACAGGTACTACTTGAATAACTAGGTTCTGTCAGGTTGCTGGCCACCCCAGGAGAGCTCCCTATACTTGCAGAGACATCTGCTGGAGGGAGGGCTGAACTAACTCCAGCTTTGCTGGCAGTGATAACATCTGGAACACAGTTCATGGGATAAACAGCCTCTGAATTCAAGGAGGGCTGCCAGGGTTCACTTTCATTTTTCCGACCATTCACTAGTCCTGATGGTGCATCTGAATAGTTGCTGAGCACAGGTCGGTCCACAGGGCCTTCCAAAATGCCAGAATACTTCTCTGCATATTTCTTTAGTAGGTTAGATGCAGTCAGAGCAGATATGTCATCATTCGCCCAGGCATACTGATAGGTGCGCTGCAAATGACCTCTGTAGGCTTCAACTTTGTGGGCGGGAGACCGAGTGGTCGAGGTGATGTCAAAGTGCTGTTCTGGCCACTGGGCATGCTCTGGCGTCCACTGCATCTTCAAGCCTAAGGATTTGGGGGAAAATAGTTAAATTACTTAGATACTCATCAGAACTTTTAAAGTCTCCCCCTCCCAAACTTTTTTGGTTACCTATTATTTTCCACTACTAATAAGAACGTTGTAAAATTTCCCCAGTTTACAATTCCTGTCATAATCTCTATTGTAACATGTATACTTTAAAATGGACTGAATTTCAGCCCTGAATTAAAAAGAAACAATTCAAATGAAAACTCTGTAGAATGTTTCTGTTAAGCCTATTAAGCCACTCACTGCACACACAGAGAAACACATATATATATGTACACACACATTCCTGTCAAGGCACAATTCAGTCATGGGTTCCTACAATAAAATATGCATACATTTTAAATATCTAGCAAGTGATAGTATCAAAGTGCAAGATCTAGCTATTCTGTCTCTTCACATCACAGTTTCTGTTTTATATTTTAACCAATATAAAAATGAGACACAGCTGACAGATCACATCTAGGATACCTCTCTTATTTGGTACTGAACACCTAGTTAGCACAGTATAATGCTCCCTGCACAGAACAATATGACACAGACATAGCAGGTCATTCCATAATCCAACTCTCATCTAAAGTGGTCCACGACAGTTTCAAATCTGCTTCGTGGAGTGCAGCAAAGCAATCTCCCAGGCAGCGCTCCATCGCTTTCATCGCACAAAGCCTACAACTCGGTATGAATTACAACTGGCTCCTTTCTGCCTCTCAGTTCTGTTGTTGAGTCCCTGAAAAAAAAAGCAAGCATCACTTATCTGTCCGTCTTCTAGCTAGCATTCTCCCTCCTTCTCTTATAATCCTTCTCCCTGCGTACAGTCTCTAAGTTCCTAAGAGACGTGAGTGAGTGAGTGAGTGAGTGTGTGTGTGTGTGTGTGTATGGAGAGAGAGAGAGAGAGAGAGAGAGAGAGAGAGGGAGAGGAAGGGTGGAAACAGAGGTAAAAGGGAAGATAATAAAAGAATGTGGATTCTAGTTCTACATTTCTATAGGAAGGAGTGTGTGACAGAAACTCAAGTAGTACAACTAGGCTATGAGATGTTATGGGTAATTCTATCTGTTAAATTACTAACTGAAGCAAGGTGACTAGCAAACTATAAAACAAGTATTTTCTCATTTATTTTTTTCTTATAAATGAGAAAATTCTAAGCAGCTAGAATCAGAGGATCATTTCAGTTTTACAGTTTAAAGAGACCTTAGAAATTCCCTTCTTTCATAGATTAGAGAACTAGTGCCCAAAGAGGTTTATAATGTATCGTCGAGGACTCACATATAGTTAGTTACAGAAGAGCACCGGAACCCTGTTCTATTTCCTAATGCTGGCTCATCCCATTCTAATCTCTGCTTCCTGGGAGCACTTCTTATTCTGGTACAGCTATATGAAGCAGGCCCTCTTAATCTCCTTTGTATTACCCAAAGTGAATTTTGCAAACTGTCTTGTGCCCTCTGGCAGAGATTCCTTGATAAGGAGGAGGCCTGGTCTAAATGAAGCATCTGTGGCATCAGCTCTCTTCTGTCTATTCTGACAGCTCCTACCCCATTCTGCTTTCTTCATCCAAACCTTAGCTCTTCATTGCCTGACTCTGGCTTCTGATATGGACGGCTTTGACTTATTGAGCTAAACTGAACATAGTACAGAGTTTGGTAACAGAATGGCATGTTGATTCCCTTCTGACTCCCTCTTCCTTGTTTGCAAAACCATTGCACCAGACACTGGAAGTTAATTAGCAGGATGATGCTGTGCTAATTGTGTTAATTTACAAGGTTTTAGTCAAAGAGAATCATGCCAGGGCTGGCACTGCTGTCATGCTTCAGACTTAATGATTAAAAAATACTGAAAACAGGGTAGGAAGGATTGCAGTAATTACACAATAAATGAATAAAGCAACAGGATTCATTTGCAAATATATTTTACTGCAGTTGTACTCATTTGCATTTGGATTTTTAAAAAGGATCCATGTAGATATTCATTTGCAAATCACCATCTTAGTTAAATTAAGTCTGAAAGCTGCACTGTATAACTTAATCAAGCTTTACATATTTTTTTTTGCAAAAATACTAAAGACCTTGCTTCTCTTGTACATGCAACAGATTCTTCACTTTTCCTCACTCCCCCTAAATCTTCATGTTTCTCTTTTCAAAGTCTGCCTTTTAAAAACAGTCTCATCAAATTGCAAACAAACAAAAACATTTGTAAAATCCGGATGGAGTGCTGCTTGCATCGTTTCACTCAGAGAAACTCCTGTGAGTTCTACGAAGAACTAAAGTGATATTCTTAATTGTTTCTGTTTTCTCAATCATTATTTTTTAAGGAGGAGGAAAACACACTGCAAAATGAGTGAAATGACCGAGACCACACTTAAAGGGGAAAAGATGCAAATTTAATGAAGCAGCATTTCAGGAATCATACTTTCATTAAATTCAACTGGAAATTATTAAGAGCAAATCACCAGGAACCAATCGCAAGTAATCAGTATCTAAATTCTTCTAGTGTCATGGGATTTACTTCAAGCCTTAAAAAAAGGAGAGAATATTAATGTGACTATAATGTAGAACTGTCTAAAAGACCTACAAATTCATTAGTCCTGTAAACTATTTCCAGGGAATTTCTATTAGGAATTTTTCCTTAAAAGATTATTGAAATACAAAGTTGAGAAAATAAGAACACAACATGTTATGAATCTGGTTTGACTGACACAGAAGAAATATTTAAATAAGTGTCTTAAGGTTTCAGATAATAATTTAGGAGTCACAGGCAATGGAAGGTACTATAAGTGCAACACAGCACAACACAGCACAACACTACACAACACCACACACATGTCAAAGGGCTTGGTTTCCTTTCAGTTAGCTGAGCTAAGCCATTGGTGGCGTGAGTTAATACACATACATAACAAAAATGATTTTTAAATGCCCATTAAAAAAACTGCTGCATAGTTTAACTCCAGCAAAGCTAATTACATTTCATAAGATTTGTTTCATCAGAAATTAAGCAAAGATTCTATCTATCAAAATTATGTATTTGGAACAATTATGGGAAACAACATTGCCTTTTGATTCTCATGCTATTTTTGGATGTGCTTACGAAGAAAATTAAAAGTTTATTTATTGATGCATACTAAATAACAAAAACCTTATCATGGCTGCAAAAGGTGACTGAGCTTTGATTAAATAAACTTAAAGGAACAGAATTATTCACATCCCCTGAAACACAAGTACTTATCCAGTGCTTTGAAATCATTAACATTCTTTTAAAATGTAAGTCAGTAGGTTACCACAAGCTAGTTCTGCCTATCAGTAGGAGCTGAAGAAGCTAGCATTTGGAGATTGTCCTGCCCTTGGGAGCCCCAAGAGCTTTTTCATTAGTTTCCTGAATTTTAATACTAATTGAAAGTAGAACCAAACTTGTTTTTGTTGTTGTTATTATTGTTCTGTTTATTAGTGATGATATTTCTGATGTGAAATGGATGTAACACATAAAGTCAAATGTTCTTGGAACAAAAAAAGCACGATCCCTTTGATTGTATTTCTGTTATCTGCGAGTAAAAAGCAGCAGATGCGTGTCACTTAACTTGGCACTCAAATAATAAGACGGGTTTTAAAAACAGCTTTTATATGCTTTGTTTTTGGAACATGAAGAACCTCAGAAACAATACTATCTTAAACGTTATTAGAAATGTGACTCCAGGAAAGTAACTCCCACTGCTGTGTAGAAATACCTTAAATATGTACAATAAGAATTCAGAAAACAGTGAAAAGGAAGGAAAATAGCCCTTAAGTATAATTAAAAAATTGCTCCAAAATATCAATTTTTATTTTTGATAGGGTAAGGAAATTCTGAATACAGCTGACAAATTTTACACTGCAATGTGTTTTTAAAAAATGTGTAATTTAATTGAAAATTGCTTTAAGATACTTTTAACACGTTACACAAGAATGAGAGATTCAAAAATTTTTATTTTATTGTTATAGGATTAATTTATGTATGTATAAATGAACAGGTCTATATTATTTCCCATAAAACCGGATAGTTTGGATAACCTTTTCCATCGTTACAACCGTTCCATAACTTAGGTTTAATTACTAAGCAGCTGCTGCCTCATCGCCTTACCTCCTCCATTGTGCTCTTTCAACTATTTGAATCGAAACAACTGTGGCAGCCTCCGCAGTTCTGTCCCAGTTTCAAGATTATCAAGAAACTCTTGTACAGGTAAGTGAAGAATGTAAAAACAACTTTCTGAATGGAAGGAAATTGGAAATAAAAGACGAAGCCTTCTAGAATCTATTTTTAGCACACATTCCTGGAAATATTAATCTAAGACACTCACTACTCCACCCCCCACCTCTAAAACACATATGCTATTCAGCAGTTCATCAGGTCTAAAAAAGCTGTTCTCTTTTACAAGGTTCCCATGGGTAATTCTGGCTGCTGGGGACTCTGCCTTCACTTGTCGGTTTCCTCAGACTTCCTAAGGGCAGGGACCTGAGGCAAACACCTGCAGGCGTGGGGGGCCAGTCTCTCTAGGACAGCTGCACAGCACTCTCACAGGCCCGCACGGCCCGCTGCACCTATCGCTCCTTTGGACTGCTGCGCCCCTGAAACTTTATTATTTTTTCAATATATTTTTAAAAATCTAATACCATATTTATCAAGGTTTCTCTCTAGAAAACAATCTCTACAAGGGGGACTATAACAACTTACAGTTTCCAGCCCCCTCAGCCTCATAATGCAGCAGATTCATCATCTCCTAGGTAGGACATGGCAGAACACACACAGCTTTCAGAAATCCATTGGCTAAAAATATAGGTCTAGGCAGTGCTGAGCCTTCTGAGAAAGGGTATATAAAGTTCCTGGTACTGAGAACTGGCACTATGCAAAGTCTACTTACCATTATTCTTCAAGGGAAGTGACGGCCAAATGAAATGTCTGAGCAGACTATGCAGCCCTCTCCTTTTGTGAACACACAGTACAATGTACAGATGATGT